TGATGAAGTCCGTTTACTGTTTCTGCTTATATCTAAGAAATCTCCACTGAACCTAGGATATGTAGAAACATTTGATTTTGATATATTGTTCTTAATATTCTATAATCCTTCTGCATTCATTTATTAGTTACCACAGTAGCTTTTTTTTTATAGATTTCACTATGTTTTCTACATAGCCGTCTGCAAATTAAGATATTTTTACTTATTTCTGCCGGGTGCTGTGGCTCATGCTGTAGTCCCAGTGTCTGGGAGGCCGAGGTGGGTGGATCCCTTGAGCTCAGGGGCTTGAGACCAGCCTGAGCAAGAGTGAGATCCCACCTCTACTAAAAATAGAAAAATTATTCGGAGGTTGTGTTGAATGACTGTAGTCCCAGCTACTCAGGAGGCTGAAGCCGCAGGATCTCTTGAACCCAAGAATTGAGGTTGCTGAGAGGTGTGACACCACAGCTCTCTATGTAGGGGACAGAGTGAGATTCTGTCTCAAAAAAAAAGTAAGCAAATCAAACCCAAAAAGAATTAGACCGATTTTCAGATGTTAAGCCATCTCTGCTTGGCATGGTGTATTATTCTTTATATGTTACTAGGTTTGATTTGCCAATATTTTATTTTATTTTATTTTATTAGAATTACAAATTTATTAAAAACTCTGGTCTGTATTCATGAGTGATGTTAATCTTTTGGGGGTGTTAGAGATCCAGTTTCTTATTCTAGCTTTTGTTAATTTGTCCTCTTTATCAATCATTCTTTTTTTTTTTTAACAATTTACCTAGAATCTGTCTGTTTCATTTATTTGTTTTCAGAGAATGCTTTTGATTTTCTTAATTTTCTCCATTTTCTCCTTTTTCATTAATCTCTGTTATTAGGTTTATTTCCTTCCTTTCTCTGAAGCAGACCAGGTGAAATGCAGTGGTAAATAAATTGGGCTGTTATTTTTTCTGGAAAACAAATTTCTGGCCATAGCCACAAGTTTAGTTTGTATTTTATTTAGTAAAGGTATTTTATTTAGCTTGATATGCTAAATAAAATCATTGCACTGAACTGAAGAGTGTTATTTTTCATTTCCAGGAGGGTTTGCATTTGTATATGAAGCTCAAGATCTGGGAAGTGGCAGAGAATATGCGTTAAAGGTAATAAAGAGTGAGTCAACATTTTATGTGGGTTTTTGGTTTGTTTTAAAGGAAATCTCTGAGGGACAGTGTTTTAAGAGATGCATTCCTATTATTTAGTTTCTTTTTTGCAGTTTGTGTATATTTGTCCTTTTTGTTTCTTCTGATGGTGAGGCCATCAGCAGTCTCAGATGCTATGTTATCAGAGCAAATGGTCGAAGCCATGGTCATCACCTTGGGGACCCGCCTACCCCCCCCCTCCCCGGGCACTGGGCTACATTGGAAAGAGGAGTGAGGGTGACCTCACAGTGTGGTCCTACATGGCATCTTGCCCTGCATGTGTTAAAAATAGGGGTTCCACAAATACAAGGAGTTTGAGAGCCCTGCACATAAAACATGTCCACACATATCTGAAAACATAGGTTGTATTGTGGCAGGATGGAGGCTGGGGTCTTGTCTATACTGTGTGCTGGGGGGAATGGTTTTGATTTTGTCTTGAGACACATACAAGGCCCAGCTGTTGGTGCCCATAGCACAGTGGTTATGGCACCAGTCACATGCACCAAGGGTGGTGGGTTCAAACCCGGCCCGGGCCAGCTAAACAATGACAACTGCAACAAAAAAATAGCCAGGCATTGCGGCAGGCATCTGTAGTCCCAGCTATTTGGGAAGCTGAGGCAAGAGAATCATTTAAGCCTAAGAGTTGGAGGTTGCTATGAGCTGTGCCACCATGGTACTCTACTGAGAGCAATATAGTGAGATTCTGTCTCCAAAAAAAAAAAAGTGAGTTTTGTAGGCCTGGCTTTGGTGGTCTGCAGCGTGTACTCATGTCTCTGCCATGTCTGTCTTCACTCACTTTCGTTTGTTTTGTTTTTCTCTGGAGTATTTGAAAAACTCCTTTTTTTTTTTCTTTTTTGAGACAGAATCTCACTATGTCACCCTGGGAGTGCTGTGGTGTCACAGCTCACAGCAACCTCAAACCCTTGGGCTTAGAGCCTCCCAAGTAGCTGGGTCTACCTATAGGCACCCACCACAATGCCTGGCTGTTTTTAGTTGTAGTTGTCATTGTTGTTTAGCAGGCCCAGGTTGGATTCGAGCCCTCCAGTTCCAATGTCTGTGGCTGGCGCCCTGGCCTCTGAGCTACTGGTACCCTAGCCACTGAGCTACAGGTGCCGAGCCTTGCTTTTTCTTTTTTTTAAAACAAAAAAATTCAAATTGTTAGGAGGGTACAAATTTTTAAGTGCTTTTTCTTGTGTTCTTGGATCATAAAGCTCTTTCAGGGGTTTCTAACCTCCTGTATAGTTTTTGCACAGATCAGGTAATCAGGTTAGTCTCTCTTAGATGCACTGCATTTGTTCTGTTATGTGTTTTTGTCTCAGATAAGGTATTATGTGAAGCAGAGAAGTAAATTATCTTTAATCTTTTTTGTGTGCTATTTCTTGATATAGAGGCTGTTGTCCAACGAAGAGGAAAAGAACAGAGCCATCATTCAGGAAGTTTGTTTCATGGTATCCTTTTCCCAGGAACCAGGAGCTGACATGTCACCTAGGCAGGCACAGACCTGTGCCAGCTGCCAGGTGGCTATCACTGCTGTTCTGTTTGATGTGTTACAGTGGCCTTTTGGTTTTACCAAATAATCAATTCCTAGTACAAAGGAGTGCTTCCTTGTTCTTAACTCCCAGGTTAACAGTAAAGATTCAGGAGCATTAGGAATGGGTTGTCATTTCTACACAAGAGGTTTTGATGGCAGGGACGGGCTAGTTAGCACAGGAGAGCCCCTACCTCTGCCACCCTCTGAAGACCTGACTGAGAGCTGCTGCCAGCCACTGCTGCTCATGTTGCCCAGGGCCCCATCCTGACAGAGGATGTGGGCCTTTGCTTGCTGCCACTGCCCCACATCCTCCCTCAGTGTGGAGCCCTCACTTTTGGTAGTCTGCTTCTCTTCTAGCTAAGTCCACACTGTGAGCCTGTAGGCCACCTGCTCCTCACAGCCTCCCTGCTGCATAGCCCTGAGGGCTCTCCACCTGTTCCCCCTGTACAGGATGGACGCTGCAGTCAGGTGTGAGGGGCCAGCATGCCTGTCTGCATAGCCTCCCCCACCCACCCACCCCCACCACCCCGCCACTCCTCTACATTCATCTTCTTGCCTTTCTTGTGGTCCTCTCCCTGCTCATCTCTCTTTTTGCTCTGCTGTGCTAAAATTATGAGGTGATACAACTAGAGTATCATGACTTTAATCTCTGAATGTCAGACATATTTATTTGGAAATGCACAGAATTATGGATATGGTTATGGTCATTCTCCTTTAACAAGACACCTGCAGAAAAAACTTTCTGGCCACCCCAACATTGTCCAGTTTTGTTCGGCAGCATCAATAGGAAAAGAAGAGTCGGACACAGGGCAGGCTGAGTTCCTCCTACTCACAGAGCTCTGCAAAGGTAACGTCCTGTAGGGTCACTGCTACCTGACATGTTCAGACAACCGTCCAGCGTTCTGACCATCTGCTCTTAAGGTGATTATAGTGAAAAGAACTGGCTGGTATCCTATGGAGCTCCCCCATGTGGGAGACACGTGGCTATTCCCCACCAGGGCCTGGTGCTGGCCCCTCCACCTCCTGGTCTGCAACTGCACAGGTGCTGCATGAGAGCAGAGGGTGCTAGTGACCATCATTGTGGGCCTGGTCCACCAGGGCAGTCTGAAGCTATGTATAGTCAGTAGGCGGGGAGGTCCCGATAAGCAGAGGAGAGGCAGTAGTGTGGATTGTTGGAGCTCATGGGGGTCTAGCCCAAGATGACCACAGAAAGACTGACCTGTTGGCAGGAAAGGGCAGGGCATAAGTTTGGGAAGCGCTTCAGACTGGTTCACGGCAGGGCAGAGTGGTCCACATGCTGACTACACTAACTGCCCATGGCAGGGCCCAGTGTCCTGAAGCCTAATTTGCCCACCACACCAGCCTTGCGCCAAGGCTGACCAGCTAAGCCCAGCTGTCAGATGGCCAGGGAACAGCTTCCTGGGCAAACAAGGAGTGACTTCTAAGATGAAGGCCTGGCAGCTGCCCTGGCCTAACTGGGAGGGAAGTGCCAGCAAGGAGCCAGTGCTGCATGTTCCTGGGACCTGCAAGGGGGGCTGGGGAAGGAGCAGTGAGGGAGGGCGGAGACAGCAAGGAGCCAGTGCTGCATGTCCCTTTGATCTGCAAGGGGGGCTGGGGAAGGAGCAGTGAGGGAGGGCAGAGGCCGAGTGGGAGAGTGGCTCCACATGGGCTGCTGGCCTCAAACCAGGCCTTGCATGAGACACTAGTGAGACCCTAGAGGGCCAGCGATAAACCATTCAGAACCTGTGAGCAGACAGAAGACAATGGAGCAAGGGCCAGAGCCCGGAGAGGGCAGAGGAGAGTGGATGGAGGGAGGCTGAGGGGAGAGTCTGGGGTATTGTGTGTGTGCAGAGAGAAAGTGCAGGGTCCCTGTTCTGAAAGGAAGTGGGGGGGAGTCCCTGTGCTGAGGGATATCCCCATGTTGAGAGGAGGGGGCCTCGCCATGAGGGGGGTGCCCCATATTGAGAGGAGGAGGAGGACCCTGGGCTGAGAGAATGAAGAGGGGTCCTTGTGCTGAAAGGGAGAGGAGAGCGTCCCCATGTTCAGGCATCCTATTGCCTAGACAGAAGGCGAAATATGGGGTGCAGACTCTTTTGTTATCCTCCCTTGCAGCCCCAAGTGAGGGTGAGTTGCTGCCTCCTGGCCCCAGCCTGGTCCTCTGTGATGGCCAGCCCAGGCCCTGTGACTCCTCAGTGGCCGCCTTGGTGTCATCTTAGGGTTGGTCCTGGGTGTCAGGATGTGTCATCTGGGGGTGGAGGTGGCCTTAACCCTCGGATTGACACTTGCGTGGATACTCTTGTGTTCCACTTTCGTTCTTAAGTTTTAAACCTGAAAACACAGTGGACACCGTGTGCTGCCCCCATAGCTGCTTGATCTCCCTGGGTCCTGCTGAGCCACTTGGACAGAAGGTGCAGGTGTCAGGGCGAGAATGTCCTTAGTTCCCATGCAGGGTGGGGACAGGGCCATTTCTGTTATGACTGTAGCCCATTTTGCACCTGAGAAAACCCTCGTGATGTGACTGACATGTCACGTGAAGGATGTGTCACACCTTTGTTCAGATGTTTCTCCTTGTCCCTGAAGTGGTTTTGGCTTAATCGTTTCCGACTGGGACCAGAGCAGGGCTTCTAGTTGAAGTTGCTTGTAGTATGTCTGGAGTCTTGTTTTTTTGTGACACTTTTTCTCTCTGGGTGGCCATGGCCATCTGGGGCCTGTCGCAGAGCTGGGAAGATGCTGATGGTGCTCCTTCTTCTTGTTCTGGATGCCATGGAGTCTCCCACTTCTTGGATGTTCATTATTATTATTTTTCATTGTAAAAGGATGCATGCTTTTTGAAAAAACCGAACAATACAAAGTGGTATGGATGCTTATACAATGGGATTTTATTATACTGAGTATATGTATTTGCTTTTAAAAAGAAATGTACTGTCTTAGGTATCTCTCCATGGTGGTAGGTGGACCTTGTCTGTCTGAGGCTAGGTGGTTTTCATTAGTGCACTGAGAGTGGCTCCGCGGCCTCTTGTTGGGGACTCTTTCCAGAGGGGGTGGAAGTACAGCATGTCTGGAGTATGTGCCAGCTGCCCCTTGGTGAGAGAGGTGCTGGACATGGTTGGGTCAGAGCCTGAGTTTGGGACTCTGAGGGGCACCTCCCTCCCCAGCACACTTGGGGCCCTGGGCCTGACAAGGCTTCTGTCCGTCCAACCTATTCCTCTGATTGCTAGTGACAAGGGTTCCATGTCTATTGTCTCCCCAGATTTTTGTTTTAGACAGTTTGAGTCGGGTCATGGTGAGAACTGCAGCTGATCAATATCCGGCTCTTTCCCAGGGTGGATTAAGGGAGTGATGGAAACGGGACACAGGGTGGTGGTGGAGGGGCGGCTCCTCCCACACACACACAGCCTAGTGCCCCATGGTGTGCCGCTTGTCCATAGTTGGGATTCCCGAGGTAAATAATAGTGGCTGTACAGAGAACTGCTAGGGATTGCCTGTCTGGGTGCACATGGGACTGGCCAGTGGGATGCTGGGTACAGCTGTGGATGTCAAAGCCATGGCACTCAGGCTGGCCTGAGACGTGGGAGGGCCTTGTGCCCTTGTGGGCAGCAGACACAAGGCTCCAGATATGTGCTGCAGATGCCTTCTGCTGGGCAGGTCCCCACCTCCCTCTGAGGGGAAAGAAGAGGGAAGCAGCTGTCCACATCTGTGCCACCTGCAGAGATTTTATGTTTAAAAAACCTCTTTTATTTGTCACTGAGATGAGCCACTGAACCTGAGCCAGTTAACGCCGACATTGCTCTGTCCTGCCAGGTCTTTCTGGTCCCCTGCCAGGTCTGGTCCCATACCTGAATGTGTTGAGGTCACTTGTCAGCTCTGTTGTTGCCTCTGGGGTTGGACCCTGCCTTAGCTGGGCCTGTTTATCTCCTCTTGAGCACTCTTTTCTCCCTGAGGGCCCCCCGTTTCTCTCCCCTGGGGGTACCCCTTTTCCTTCCCCCAGGTATACCCTCATTCCTCCTCCCCATTTCTCCCAGGGCCCCCTATTTCTCTGAGGATATGGTTGGGGGCTGAGAGGTTCAGAGCATCAGAGGTCAATAACCAGGGCAGGATGGGGGTTTGGGAGGACAGTGGATGCAGGTCTGGACTCACAGGGGCACCAGGTGGAGAGTCTGTGGCAGGCAAGGGAATCTGCATGGGCTGTGCCATGGGTACGTGAGCCATAGGTGGCAACCAGCTATGCAAGTTGCAGTGAGGCTTAGCTCTGAACAGGGGTGACACCAGACCTGCTCACGTGTACATTGCCTATGCCATCATAACAGTTGCAAAGGTGGTGAAGTTACTGAAGCTGCCCTGATGGGCAGTTGAAACCTAGAGCTGACCACCTTTGTTGAAGCCTGTCCTCTGGCTTGGCTGCATGCGGGCACTAGGATATAGAGACTTCTCAGGTGTAGCTGCCCCTTTAGGGTCACTAGCTGTGTCCTCAACACCAGGGAGAAGGGGGTGCACATATAGGAAGGGCAGTAGAATTGGGAGGTGAGCGTAGGAGGCTGTGCCCACTATGGAAGCCACAAGTACAAAAGTTCTGAGGCAGGAGCAGGGAGGGGCCATTGTGGCCAGAGGGGAGCTCAGGGAGAGGAGGTTATCCAGAGAGTAGGGGGTCTTGGGTGTTCGCAAGAGCCTTGGCTCTGGTATTGGGTGGGAGCTGGTTGTTGGGGCATGGAGTGTGCCAAGCAGAAGGTCATGGGCTTCTCTGTGGGATGAGAAGATGGGGCAGAGGATGCCACACTGGGGGCAAGGCTAGGGTAGGTTGAGTCTGAGCATCTGTGGAGATGATAGGTCAGTTGAGGGCATAGCCCTGTGCTTGGCAGAGCTGGCCAGGCAGGCACCTGGCCCGACATCCTTGGTTTCCTTGGTCTAGGTTCAGGCCGAAGGCACGTGCAGGGCCCAGGTCGTGCACCATACATTGGTCACACAGCCTACGTTCTCAGGGTTGCATGTATGGTTCCACATGTATGGCCAAAGGGTAAATCCCCAGTTAGCATTTCATTAGAGAAGTCTGGAGAATGGACATATTTGCATTCATTTCTTTGTGGGCTGTTGTGAGCTCTGTAGCTATTCCTCTGCACAGAGCTCCCTGGGCCTGTGACCCACCTGCCTATCCAACGCTGTCCTGAGGCTATGGCCTACTGCCTCTGCCTCTGGGCACTGGGAGTGCCTGGCTGAAGGAGAGGCCTGGAGTGGCTCTGGGAGTAGGCTGGGCGCACAGCCCACACAGCTCAGGAGAGGTGGCAGCATCTCTTGGCCAGGAACCATGCTGTGGGCAGGCAGGACACCACCTCCATAGCTCCATGGTGATGTGAATGTAATTGTCTCTTTTAGGGCAGCTGGTGGAATTTTTAAAGAAAAGTGAATCTAAAGGTCCTCTGTCGTGTGATGCGGTTCTGAAGATCTTTTACCAGACGTGCAGAGCAGTGCAGCACATGCACAGGCAAAAGCCGCCCATCATTCACAGAGACCTCAAGGTACCCGCTCCGCCGTGCACGCCTGCCGGCTGCGTCCACCTGTGTGGCCATGTTAGGCTCAGTGCTTATGAGCACACGAGGCTTTGTGAGGATTGCACCCAGGAAGTTTGAGAAGGGAACGAACTTTTCAGAAGCTTCCCCTTCACACCCTGGAGAGAATTCTCCCCCCAACCCCTCTTTCATGGAACTGTGCTGATATAGAGGCCCCCTGCTAGGAGCCGCCCATGCCTGTGGCTCCAGGCCTCCTCCTGGCTCTGCCTGGGCCTTATTCTGGGCTCCTAGTTCTCATGCGGGTGTGGGCTCTGTGGTTCCCGTCAGGACCAGGGTGTTCAGGGAGCCCCTTGGCTCTCACTCATGGAGCATCCTGCCCTTTGGGGACACTTGTGCCCTGCCATTGCCCTCAGGGTGGTTCTGGACCCACTGTGCTCCCTGGTTTGGCCTCTTGGAACTGGGAGGATGGGGGTGCTTTTTATCTGCTGATGCTGGTGGGAGCTCCTTTACTGCCCCTGCCCCCCAGTCCAGTTTCCTGTTCAGGGTGGATTCCCTGTCCGCAGTCTCTCACTCTGACTCTTCTCTGAGGTGCAGCTCCTGGGGTGTTGCATGAGCCTGTTGCCTGCTCTGCCATCCTACTTTGAAGGCACTCTGGCATCTGCCAGCACTGTGGGCCTCACTTGCCACACTGTGTTTCCTGGTTATGAAGCCAAGTGTCATGTGTGGCAGTCAGCACCTGCTGCAGTCAGCCCCTTCATTTTGCTGTCTCCCCCTCTGTGGGCTCATGGGAGTGGTTCATGGCACTCCTTCTGTATCTGTGACCCTTTCTGAGTTTCATGCTGTAGTTGCCTCTCCAGCTCTATGGCCTAGTTTTTATTGTCTTATCTCCATTGTGTCTTTTAACAAAAGTGAAGATTCATGAGAATCACCCACATCTTGCAACCTGCAGGGCCGCGGTGCCCTCCTCTCGCTGCACTGGGCATGCTGTGGAGCATTTTGGAGCCTTTGCCTTTTAGCTCCTTGTGTACATGTTCTGGGACGTCAGTGGACTTCTTGTGTACTCCCCCAGCAAAGTAGCAGAGTGCCCTGAGTCTCTTGTCTGCCCAGCCTGGTCTGGCTTCCACTGTGTGTCTCCCTTGGACCCGTCAGCCGAGAATGTACCACCACCAGCTTATGGGAGGCACTGGTTTGGCACAGCTTCCCCTGTGCCTGGGGAGAGGCTCCGGCCCCACAGTGTTTCTCGAAGAGTAGGAGCCTCTCAGATCCTGCTCCATGGTGCCTCTTAAGGTACTAAGGTTGGCCTTTCCCGGGTTAGGGGGTCTCGTCCACATGGAGGTGACTTTGTATGATTTGCGATTGGGCGTCTCTTTCCCTACCCAGATGCCACACACCCAGAGCATCCACCACTGTCTCTCCTGAGGCTGCCTGGATGACCTGGGGGACAGTCAGAATTGCAGTTAGGCCCTGCTCAACACTCTATGCCCTCAAGTGAGCATCTGACGTGTGGGCCCAGGTGCAGCCCCACATGGTGCTGGGCCATGCTCTGTCCTCTTAAGTGTGTCCCCCAGTAGGCCCAAAACTCCCTTGTGCTTCTCTGGTGGGAGGGCAGGGAGAGGCTTCCACTCTGCCTTTCACCAGAAAGTGACCTCAGAGGGAAGGCATCTTCATATAGATTTTGAACTCATGGTGAGTGTGACCTTTTCATTTGTCCCTTGAACTTGAAGAGGCCTAGAAAGCCAGTGTTTAAGGGTGGCCTGTTAGACAGATGTCCCAGTAGAGAAGCCTTAGAGGACATGACCCTTCCCTTGATGGTACCCCTTTCACAGGTGGCCACAGACACCCACCTTGGGGTGATGTCAGGATCCTTTCCTCTTGTTCCCTCTCTCCCTTCTCGCTCCTTCCTTCAGTTCCTTCCTCTGTGTTTTCCTTTTTATGTTTTTTTTAATTATTCTATTCAACTGTCCTAGTTGCTTTTAAGTGGGAAGGTTTTTGAGGTTCAAAGTCTGCCTGTATTCCAGAAACTGACATGCCAAGGCCCCATTCTGATGTGGAGAGATGGGGGGTTCTGGGTGATGGGGCAGGTCCTCTGCTTTGCTTTAGGTGGGTCCTCCTCAGTGGTAGATTTTCTTACATCATTATGACCCTTTTTTTGGTTTTGAGACAGTCTCACTTTCTCCCCTGGGTAAAGTGCTGTAGCATCATAGCTCACAGCAACCTCAGACTCTTGGGCTCAAGTGACCCTCCTCTTTCGGCCTCCCAGTGTGTTGGGACTACAGGTGTGAGCCACTGCACCCGTCCTTGTTTATATTTTAAGGAAAGTTAAAAAAAGGATGAAATTAATAAAGAATCAGTGTCTGAGCTTGACCTGGGTTTGACATTGCTTGTTTTGCCACTAGGAGGTGGCTGTGATGCGCCAGTGGTGACTGCAGATTCCAGGCAGCTGGGGGTGCCCCTCACACGGTGTGGTGCCTTCCTCACTTTCATAGTGGTGTTCTTACTGCTGTGAGGTCCACACCCTTCAATGCAGTCTTTCTTTTCTGCTTTAGGATGGTGTGTGAGTAGAATTGTACACCACACGCTTTTTTTTTCTTTGCAGTTTTTGGCTGGGGCTGGGTTTGAACCCACCACCTCCGGTATATGGAGCCAGTGCCCTACTCCTTTGAGCCACAGATGCCGCCCTCCACACACTCTTTTATGTCTGTCTTCCTTTGCTTAGCATTTTAAGTCATGGGTCTTCGGTGAGGCCCCCACCTCCCAGAGTGTCTGTTGAGGGCATGCACCTACTTTGTCATCTGGTGTGCAGTTGTGCTGTGTGCGTCCATTCTACTTGCCAGTTCCCAGCGAGCTGGGCCCCTCTGCACCCTGGGAACAGCCTCGCTCAGCTGTGTGTGAGGCAGGTGCCCTGGGCTGGAGAGTGTGAGCATGGCCAGCTCTGTTCTCACCCTGGCAGGCTCTTCACCCTCATCCGGTCTTGTGGATGGGTTAGTTTACATTTCCTCT